AATTTTTTTTTCTCCCATGTCCCCTGGGGGGCTCCGTACTGACCCACAGCCCGGGAGGAGCCGCTCTAACCTCTCAGGGTCTGCACTCTTCACACCCAAACCAGATGCCACTCTTCTGTTTATTACCCGTTATTTATTACCTGTTATTACCTGAATTCTGATACCGTTTTCAGTCACGTCTCTGTTCAGTCTTCATATTTTTATTAATCATCATTAAACAGGCTGAAGAACAGCCCACACACTTCCTGTTCTCACTGAATTAAAAGTTCCTGGAATAAACTCAAACTTTTACCTCACATTTTATTTTCTACTGAAAACTTTCACAACTCACTTTATTTATTTTACAGCTTTACTCAAAGCAAACAGTACGATTTTATTCTGAAAATCCCAGACTTTACTACTTGTGTGAAAAAACAAACAAACAAACAAAAACACAGCAGGTGTAAAATGGTGTAAATACAAACGTTTATTAAACACCAAAAATACATCACTAATCTTCATCATCATCATCATCATTAGCTCGTCCAATCAGGACACTCCATTTTCATCCTACACATTTAAATTAATGAAACATCCTCTCCCCCTCTCTTTGAAAGCAGCAGAGAACAGGTAACTCTAAGCCCCACCCCTCCGACTGTCTGGAGGCGGAGCCTGTAGATAAGGCAGCAGATTGGTTGGTGGTCACATGTTGTTGAATCCCATCATGCCTTTCATGTTGCCCGCGGCGCCCTGCTGAAACTGACGCATCATCGACTGGAGTCCCGCCATCCCGCCTGCGTGCGTGCGCACACACACACAGAAACACACACACACACACACACACACACACGTGTTACTCTCCAGGACGCGTGCAGGCGAGCAAACCTGTGTTTGGGTCTGGGTTCTGGTCTTACCCATGTGGTGCAGGACTCTGGGGTCCATCATTTTGGCCATCTGCTGGTTCAATTTGGCCATCTGAGACGGGTTCACGTTCTTGGACATGTCTCCTCCTGAAACACAGCGAGCACGCCATAAACACGTCAGCGGCAGGACGCTGTACACCTGCAGACCCACTCAGTTCCCTTTGACCTCTCACATGTTCCTGAAAACCTTCTCAGACCCCCCCCCCCAGCAGGTGTCGGTACCTTTGAAGAGTCCTTTGATGCCTCCCATCTTCTTGACCATCTGGGCAAACTTGGTGTACTGGGTGAGGAGTTCCTGGACGTCTCTGGTGGCGACCCCTGACCCCCGGGCCACCCTCTGGATCCTGTTGGGCTGCTTGCTAAAGAGCTTCGCTCCATCTTTGCTGTCCAGCTCTGCAGAACCCAAGAAAGTGGAGAGACATCGGGTCATTCATCAGGACAAGCTGTGTGTGTGTGTGTGTGTGTGTGTGTGTGTGTGTGTGTGTGTGTGTTACCCTGGTCATTCATGCTGTCCATGATGGTCATCAGTTTCTTCAGTCGAGCCATCGACTCCTGCTCATTGCCTTTACTCATGAAGTCTGTCCCGAAGCCTGGAATCATACCCTGAACGCATCGCATCGCATCGCATCGCATCACACACACACACACACACACACACACACACACACACACACACACACACACACAGTCATCAAGCCGTCTCTCAGCCTCAGGTGAGTTTCAGGTGAGTTTCAGGTGAGTGTGTACCATGATCTGTCCAAAGGGGCCCATCTTCATGATGTTCTGGAACTGCTCGTACATGTCTCTGAGGGTGAACTGGCCTGCGGGTCAGAGGTCAAAGGTTAAGATTAGTGAGGTTACCCAGAGTGCAGTGTGGGTGGCGTGCTCGCCATCTCACCATGTTTCAGCTTGTCGATCAGCTCCTCGTTGTCATCCAGCTTCAGCTCATTCACTCGGTCGATCAAGCCCTCGATGTCACCCATTCCTGACAGGAAGAGGAGTCGACAGGTTTCCATGGAAACGGCTCAGTTCAAATATCCAGAATCAGTCAGATTAAAAAAAAAAAAGTTGGTGGACTAACTGATTACAGTTAGTCCACCAATGACAGCCACTCAGCGTGAGTCCGTGCATATGCCCCTCCCCCTGGCGCGTGCTTACCGAGCAGCTTGCTGATGAACGGCTGCGTCTTAAATGGCTCGAAGTCGTCGATGTGCTCGCCCGTTCCGATGAAGATGATGGGACTGCGTGTGGCCGCCACACTGCCAGGAAACAGCAGAAGAAGAAGGTAAACCGTAATAGTCGTATGACAGCATCATGCAGCACAGGACGCTAGGCTTACGCGCTCAGAGCTCCTCCTCCTTTGGCGTGCCCGTCCAGTTTGGTGACGATGACTGACGCCACGTCCACTTTGTCTTTGAAGGCTTTGGCCTGGGACTCGCAGGCCTGCCCGATCGAGGCGTCCATCACGTACACGATGTTGTCGGGTTGCTACGGAAACAGGACCAGGGACACACCTGAGTCCAGAACAGGCAGGCACCTTCACACACAAACACTTCCTGTTGCTCTACTTAGCGGGACTGCACCTGAGGTGGTGCGTTCAGGGACTCACCACAGCGTTGGAGACCTGCAGCATCTCCTCGAACAGCGAGTCCTCCTGTTTGTGTCGTCCGCTTGTGTCCACGATGATGATCTCAAAGTTCTCTGCTTTGAACTTCTCCACGCCCTCTGAGGCGATCACCACCGGGTCCATCTCTGTGTAACTGAGGAGCACGGACAGTCAGGAGGTACGTGAATGCACCACACACACGTTCGGCAGATCCCTGAACTCATCACCCAGAGGTAACACCAGGGACGCCGCCTGTCCGAGACTCACCTGCCGTAGAAGGGGATCCTGGCTTTGGTGGCATTCTGTTTGAGCTGATCGAAGGCACCTGAGAGAGGAGAGGAGATGATGATGGCGGTCATGTGACTGACAGGAAGTGAGTCTACGAAGTGACGCTAACCTGCTCTGAAAGTGTCGGCGCAGATCAGGCAGGTCTTCCAGCCTTTCCTCTGGTAGTAATACGCCAGCTGCAGGAAACACACCAATCACAGTGAGAACACAGCAGGAGGCAGGGCCTGTGTAAGGGGGGGGGGGGTCTATGACAGGTGAGTGTGGGTCACCTTGGAGCAGGTCGTAGTTTTTCCGCTGCCCTGCAGACCGACAAACATGATGACATTGTTCTTGCCTTTAGTGGGGGTCCACGCCTTCACGCCGGGGTCCACCAGCTGGTCACATGACACACACACACACTGCATGGTTAGACTCAACAACTTCCTGTTGGTGTTTAACCTGATCGAGCATTGGCAGCGAGACGATCTGACCTTGACGAGCTCCTTGAAGACGGCGTGCTGGATCATCCTCCTCTTGTTCAGACCCGATGCCATCTCCTCCAGGTCTATGGCAGACCTGCAGGGACAAAAACAAGCAGAGTTCAGCACACCTGGACGGGACACTCGGACGCCGGGATCAGGACGATCACACTCACTTGACGTTCTCTCTCAGCTGTTTGACCAGCTTGATGTTGACGTCGGCCTCCAGCAGAGCGGCGCACACCTCCTTCAGCATGGCGTTCAGCACCTGGAAACACATATGGTGAGTCACAGACCATGGCGGTGTCAGCTGGGCGCTCAGATTCGACCCACTCACCTCTTCATTGATGATGGTGGCGTTGCTGAGTGACCTCAGCGCCGAGGTGATCTTCCTCCCCAGGTCGGCGAGCACCATGATGGCGGTCCAAGTTAGACCTGAAAATAAAAAGTGTGGTCACGGCGTGCTTGTGTGCGGCACGCTGCCACTTCTTATCTCGGTTTACTTGCAGAGGAGTCAGTGACATTTACACACTTACTCCCAAAAACTTGATTCTGTTCATCAGGATGTTTTCAGTGGGAGAAACGTTTCATCATCATCAGGTGACTTCGTCAGTTTCCAACCTTATAAACAGCACATCTGCACCACTGACCAACAACAGGCTGTGAAGTCAGTTTATGATCATTAATCATGTTAATGATCATCCTGAATTGTCATGACTACTGATTGATCGGTGACCATCAGTACCATTCATGGGGAGTAGGGATCGGCTGCTACGTCCACATGAACAGAATCAACTTTTTTGGGACTTCCTCACCTGGATGATTGAGCATGCATCAAGTCACTTACTTACTGTGTTAATCAGAGTTTTGTGGAGGGTACCCCTCCTACTGAGCGTGCTCAGCAAGTCAGCTGACAGGTGGTGGTGGCAGCCTCACTCTTCCTGTCCAGAGGAGAGAAAATAAAAGTTGTTCAGATTTGAGAGATTTATCCTTGATGAAGACCATCCACTCTGAAATCTGAACCAGCGCCCGAAGCTCACTGTAAAAATCAGACACTGCAAAACTTCAGATCGTTCGTTCATATCGTTTCTGCTCGCTTCAGACTGGCTCTGAGTTCGGCCTTTGCGCCCGCTCACCCTTAACGAGCTGTGGATTTTGTTAAATGTATCTGAATGCATGAAATGATTTAAAGTGAATCCTCCGACTCCTGCAGCAGCTCTCAAAATGAAAATAATGCACATATTTAACAGAATAATGCTGTAGGCCACAGGTGTCAAACTCCAGTCCTCAGGGCCGCTGTCCCTGCTGCAACACGCCTGAATGACACAAGTAGGTCATTAGCAAGACCTGACAGGCGCTCATGAATGAACACGATGCATTTAAAGTACTTTTAGACGTACATTTTTCCAAGCACTACTTCACTTGAGTGGAGGTGGGGTTGCCACCTCAGCATGCAGCTCTATAGAGTCTTGTTACTAATGTTATTCAGGTGTGTTGCAGCAGGGACACATGGAAAAGTTTCAGGACACCGGCCCTCGAGGCCTGCAGTTTGACACCCCTGCTTTAAGTGATAATTATAGAAACATCTGGAAACTGCCAAACTCCCAGATTACAGATGCTGTTCATGCTGATGGTGAGAATGAGCCGTGAGGACAGTTGTGAAGAAACCTGCTGGAAGTTTTTAAAAACATCCTGGAAAGTTTTTGATATTTGAAGCACTCATAAACGTTCAAACTCTGGAGCACAAGATTTGCAGCTAAATCTGAGATGGTCGAGATGTCATCATCGTGGACGCTGCCCAGCCTGTCCAATCAATGCTTCTGTCTCATGGCTTCTAACAGCTGATGGAGGGCTTCATCATCTCAGCAACTCTGAGACTCCGGCACTAAGAGCGGAAAACAGCCCCCTGCATAGCTCTCTGGCTGTCCTCACACCTGGTTCAGTACACGGACGCACGATCTGTGATTTTGGGGTCGATCCTTTCTTTGTGTTCCGATATCTGAAAGGAGCTGCCTGGAGCCACCGATCAATCAGATGTGAAGCTGAACAGATGTTCACGCTTGAGCCAGGAGGTGACATGGAGGAAACCCCTCCATGGAGCTTCTCGGTGACCCGTTTGGCCCCTCACGTCGGCTCTCTGGACTCAGGTGGAGGTCTGGATGACCCGAGTGGGACCCCGGGCCCTCACCGGTGCCTCTCACCCCTTCGGCCTGTCCGATCACACAGAACTGATCAGAACATCGATCAGCTCCTCATCACGTGATCGATAGTCGCGCGGATCGATCGCCTGTTTATCGAATAACACGTCAGCTGTTTACAGTTAGCACGGACCGAGCGGCTAGCATTAGCTCTGTTAGCTCGGTGCGCTCACGCGGATAGAGACGTACTTCCGGCCGTGGCAGCGGGCCCGGTACGGAGAACCGAGCCTCGCCGGAGCGGAGAGAGGTGCGGGTCTTACCGTGTCCGTGAGTGTGCTTGTTAAACGGCAGCAGGACCAAGACTCCACCACAGGAGCGTTATCCAAAACACCGGAAACACCGCGTCATCCCACCAGCCCAACCGGAAGCACTCAGGCTTTATTTAAAAAAAAAACCCAACTTTATTCAGAACATCAGATGTTTCATTTCCCTTTAATTTGTTGTCTATTAGAAGTTCTTCCATAAAGGTTTAGTTCAAAATTGATTAAAATGAAAGCAGCTGTAGTGGCGTCATCGCGTAACACCGAGCCACATGGACGTTAAAGGTTTAAATCAGCTGATCTGTGAGCAGCTCCCACGACGGACAGAAACCACACTTAAAAACGTGTACAGGAGGGGGCGGGGCTCTGTGGATAACCACCTGAGCCTGTTCCATGATCTCATCATTGCATCATGATTTCATCAGTGCAGCCCTCTGAACACACCTGTCTGCACCACAAATGCCTCACCTGTCCACTTTTACCTATGCAGCATCAGTGCAAGCTCTTTGAGAAACTTCAGCCCCCTCACGTTTTTTGTTTGTTTGTTTGTTTTTAGGTAGGAAAATCACATGCCCACACCCAATGACCTCACACAGCTTAAACATGCATTTCAGTTACAACCAATCAGATCCTCCCACACCTTCCTGCATGCTCAGTTTCAGCTCTCATTTTGAAACCAAAGCAGAGGTCAAAGGTTACCTTGTTTCTGTGTTGAATAACCAATCAGAAACTGCATATGGAAAATGTGAAAGATTTTATTGCAAACGTTTACTAGAATAAATTCAAAGTGCAACACATGATGAAGGTTAGGGGTCAGAGGTCACCAGGCTGCATCCATCAACTGACTTCCACTGAAGAATCTGACTAGACAAAGTCTCCATCTCTGAGGCCTGGATCAGCAGCTGGGCGAGCGAGGAGTCCTGAGAGAGAGAGAGAGAGAGAGAGAGAGAGAGAGAGAGAGAGAGAGAGAGAGAGAGAGAGAGAGAGAGAGATAACAGTTGAGCTGGGATGAACTCTGCAGCCAATTGGAGGATGCTATTCAGTGTGTGAGAGACTGACAGGAAATGACCATGAACAGGGAGGTGGCCAAGGGCGGAGCCAAGAGACGAGCCCAGTCAACAATACTAATTTGTTTTTATCAATAAAGCTTGATGCTGCATCGCACAAAGAGTTTTTTCAGTCAAGCCCCGCCTCCCGTCTCTGACCCATTTCTGTACAATACCCCACATTGCTGATGTCAAACCCACCAGACTCCATTCATAAAACTTTGGTTTTTAGCTCACAGAAAACAAACGTTTGCATTCGACTGTGATGATCCAAACTAATGAGTTCAGACCTCAGGGTGACACTAGCTCACCTGTTCTCTCAGGTAAATTTCCTGTTTTTGTGAATGGAGTCTGGTACACACAGATTCTCTCAGGTGTATAAAATGAACGGTGGCACACGGCTTTAGTTTGTCTGCGTACCGCGTGGCCTACTGCCATCCCCAAACGAGTGAGTTCGTGTGACTGACCAGCAGAGCGAGACGGTCTCTGGCTGCAGTCCTGCTGTCGGCAGCGCTTAGCTTCTCCTCCAGAGTCTCAATGAAGTCCATCATCAGCTTCAGGGACTCCACCATGAACCTGAAACACACCACAGACCGTTACAGAGTGCCACGGACCACTATAATCACACTGAGCATCAGGCATTACCTGTGCAGGTGAGCGTGCACGGGCAGGTTGGTGCAAGCCAGCGGCTTCATGAGTCGCTGCCTCAGACTGTTCTGCTCTCTCAGCAGTTCCTGCATATGATCCCCGAGCATCTGCAGCATCTGGAACCTCTGAGCTGCAGGACACAAAAGCACCTGATCAGAGGGGGCGTGGCTCAGAATAAGGTCTGGAGTGAAGGTTGGTTTAAAAACATCGACCCCTCGAATGTGATGATGACGTCACCTGGACTCACCGAGGTGGAAGCTGTGGGCAACATCGGCGCTTTGCTCGTCGACCTGCAGCAGCTCCAGCCGCAGCCGCATCTGCACGAACAGGAAGCAAACAGGAAACAAACACCTTTACGTTAGCTGACACAGTCACATGACTTCTAGCCCCGATGCAGTCACTGTTTTTTTAACACAGCTCCTGCAGGTAAAGCTCTTTCATTCACACAACAGCATCTCATTCACCTGACCGGACCCACAGCGAGTGCACACCTGTCACCGCCTGCAGTCGACATGCTTAAGACGTCAGTGCTCAAATCAGAGTTTCTGCGATGGGAAGCGTTTGGTGAGACGTGTTCATAAATGACACACCGAGCACGCCAACGTACAAAGCAGGAATCTAGTAATAAAGCGATACTGCTGCTGTGGAGATGCTAGCATAGACAAGATACAAAACTAGCTACTGGTTTTATTAACCTGTGAATGAGTCTGAAAGCTGCAGAAATGTAGGATTAGTTACAAAGCCAAGAGGAGGGAGTTACAGCGCGTTAGGGGACTAGTTAGTAATTAGTGTGGACGCTGATTAAGCATCCACGGTATTGTTCTTCTACTTTTCATCTTCCATACGTTTTTCGCCATCTATCTCCTTCACGCCGCTCAACTTAGAAAAACCATTCAACCACCATGTGTACTTGTATTTTTCTCATCTTTAACATTTATATTTGTTTAATTATTCAACTTTATTTAACAAAAGTTTACAATCTATTTCAATGGGAGAATCTTCAAATTCTCATTCAACTTACTCTCAAAACAAACAGATTCAAACTTTTTGAACTTTTAACATTCGTTCAGATGTTTTCTGACTCTAAATTTTCTTTTGTCATTACTCGGCTTTTTCAAATGCACATTTTAAACATGTTCGGCTACTTTTCAACTTTTTCTTCTCTGTGATCGTCAGCTTTCAGCAGTTCTGAACTTTTGTTTTCAGGTGAAAAATTCTGTATTTTTCAGTTTATTTAACATTTTTAACTTAACATTCAGCTATCAGCATCCACACTGCAGTTTCTTCAGAAAATGCAGAAGACACACAATCCAAAGTTTAATTAGCTAACCACGACTAGAAAAGGAAAACAACAAAGTGAAGGCGCCGTGAGCAGCCAATCAGAGACACCAGGATCCACGAAGCTGCTCCGTGGAGGTTCTTAGTCTGCCTTTAAAAACATGACGATTGTGCTCATCATCAGCACTAGGCCCAAATCAGAGGCTGTCTCTCATGGTGACAGAGCGTGACAGACTGCAGTCAGCTTAGAGCGGATGATGTCATCCCTCAGGAATGACATCATTCACTCTGAGCTGCAGGCAGGAGAGCAAAACAACGTTTCTCCTGAGAAAATTAAAAAATCCGATCTGGCCGACATCCGGCTCAGGCATCGAAGCAGGCGGGGCTCTGCACTCTGACATAACGTCCCAGCACATCCCCGAGACAGCTGCAGGCACATACCTCATCCAGCTGCTTCTGCATTCTGATTTGGTCTTCAGCCTCCTGCAGATGAGAGGAAAAGACAGGGCCTGTACCATTGGAGGCGGAGTCTATTTCCTCCTGAGGACAGGTGGGACAGAAGCAGATTCAGATTTTACTCACAAGCTTTAGTCTGGATCAGAACCGGATCACACAGGTCAACTCTCACTCAGATCTGAACCTGTCCTCAGACACCTCTGAACCGTGTAAAGTAGGGCTGCACGATTAATCTTAGAAAATCGCGATCTCGATTCATACTTATGTGCATCGCATTTCCAAATGACAACGATTAAAAAAAAAAAAAAAAAAAA